CACTACCTCCACTACCATCTCCACCACCTTCACTCCATCACTATCAACACCTTCACTGTCACCACCATCACTAACTCCACCTCCACCACTTTCACTCCATCACTATCAACACCTTCACTGTCACTATCACTACCTCCACCTCCACCACCTTCACTCCATCACTATCAACACCTTCACTGTCATCACCATTACTAACTCCACCTCCACCACCTTCACTCCATCACTATCAACACCTTCACTGTCACCACCATCACTACCTCCTCCTCCACCACCTTCACTCCATCACTATCAACACCTTCACTGTCACCACCATCACTAACTCCACCACCTTCACTCCAACTCCATCTTCACCATCTCTATCTCCATCACCACCACTTCCACCTATAGCTCCACCACCTTCACTGCTACCAACATCACTGCCACCACCTCCATCTCCATCTTCACAACTTCAGCACCATCACTACCACCTCCATCTCATCCAACTTCACCTCCTCCTCCACCACCACCACCACCACCGTCACTCACACCTCCACCAATAGGGCAAGCTGAGATGGCTGGAGGCAGTAAGAGGACAGGCTGGGAGCATTAACAGGGGGAGCTGGTGGCAGTAACAGGGGGAGCTGGGGGCAGTAACAGGGAAGAGCTGGGATGGGCAGTAATGGGGGTGCTGGGGGCAGTAACAGGGGGAGCTGGGGGCAGTACCGGGAGAGAGCTGGGATGGGCAGTAATGATGGGTGCTGGGGGCAGTAACGGGGGGAACTGGGATAGGGCAGTAACAAGGGGTCTAGAGGCAGTAACAGGGGAGCTGGGGTAGGACAGTAATTGGGGGGAGCCAGGGATAGTAATTGGGGGATGCGGGATTGGGCAGTAACAGTGGAGAGCTGGGTTGGGCAGTAATGGGGGGGCTGGGATGGGGCAGTGATGGGGGGAGCTCGGGACAGTAACGAGGGGAGGTGGGATGGGGCAGTAACGGGAAGCTGGGGGCAGTAACAGGGGGAGGTGGGACGGGGCAGTAACGGGAAGCTGGGGGCAGTAACGGGGGGAGGTGGGATGGAGCAGTAACGGGAAGCTGGGGGCAATAATGGGGGGAACTGTGATGGGGCAGTGATGGGGAGAGTTGGGGACAGTAATGGGGGGAGGTGGGAAGCTGGGGGCAGTAATGGGGGGAGGTGGGATGGTGCAGTGATGGGCGGAGCTGGGGACAGTAACGGGGGGAGGTGGGATGGGGCAGTGATGGGGGGAGCTGGGGACAGTAACGGGGGGAGCTGGAATGGGGCAGTGATGGGGGGAGCTGGGGACAGTAACTGGGGGAGGTGAGATGGTGGCATTAACAGGGGAGTTGCGGCAGTAACAAGGGGAGCTGGGATGGGGCTGTGTATTGGAGGAGGAGATGGACTGGGAGGATGGAGGGGTGGGTGCAGGTCTGTTTGTTGATTCTGTGATTTTCTTTTCCCTCGAAGAGCAGTCACTTCAGAAATAATCTTCAAAAGTTGCCAAAACCGTCCTGGTGCCAACTTACACCAGGCAGTTATTATCTGTCAGGAAATTAGCTCGTCCACAAATCGGAATCTTCTTCACTGTGTCCTAAGTACAGTATCGTTTCAATATATTCCTGATTGTAGAGATGGTATTTATATCGTAAGAATTACAATAAATTTATCTCAATTTTATAAAATTATAAACATTGTTATTTAAAAATTAAATCATAAATGGAGATTAGACTATCTCTTAAATATCTGCTTGCCAACTTGAAAAGAACAAAACAGCATTTGTTTAGTACCTGAAACACACCACTGGTACAGTATCTAAAGCACCACTTGTATAATGCTTACACCAGAATTCCTGTATCTAACACTTCAGTATGTAATGTTTCAACTGGAGCTGTTGGTAGTTGCTTCCTGGTGCTATCATACACCTTGACCTTTGGTGTAGTCAGCTTGAAATGATCTGTTCAGAGGTTGTATTGCAACACTCGTTGTCTGAGATGAACACTAACCTCTCATTCCAAGCTAACCTGGTTCACTAAACACCCTTCCCTTCTGAACGACACTAGTCTACACAGACATCCTATTCATGGGAATGACCCATTCAAATCAAAAGTGAAACTAAAAGTCTCCCTTAAGCTTAAAAAAGGACAAGTTCCAGAAGTCTCTGACAGCCCTGGAGGTCCAATTATTTGCCTTGCTCAGTCACAAAATTTTTTCAATAAACAGAAGCATTTTCCAAAACTGATTCACTCTAAAGCCTGTCCTCAAAACCTCTTCTTTCTAAAAAAAAAACCCACTGGTTTACTAATTCTCAAACTAGAAACCCACAACAAAAATTGTGCATATAATTCCCATAGTTAATATCATACTCAGCAGTTGGAAATATTCCCAGGAGGTGAGAAGGAATGGAAAATCAAGCAAGCAGTGATATTCTAATCTCTGTTTCACAGTGTGTAATGAATCATCCTGCTGTATGCACCCAATTTTCTGAGCAAATTCTAACATATTGTAACTGATATGCTGATTTCCCGTCTTGCTCTGACATTTGACATCTGCATGTTTGATCTGTAAACAAACCTGATTTAGTCGTTTTTAGCGTGTATGCACAAGTGTGCACTTTTGAACCTTTAAGAAGAAATGTAGAAAGTGGTGACAGCGTTGTGAACAACATATCAATATTAGTGAATTGTGTTAGGACTGGAGATGGTGGACTATACACTGCACAAGTAAGGGGACCGTTTTCAGATTACAGAGCATATGGGCTGGGTACAGCTGCAAACTTGTCACTCTGGGTTGGCGTTTAGGAATATGAGGTTGGAAGCTCTTTGGATCTATTGTTACCTTGTTAAAGATGCTATATGAGTGGACAGTGTTGATTACAACAACTGGAGAGTAGAAACCTATTTTCTTTTTTCTACTCTTTACCTTTCCCATTAACCCCAAGTCCCACTAAGGTATCTGTAGTGTTAGCTGCCCTGGGCCTAGTTAGTTCAGCTCAGCCCATGAATTGAATTTCAGATACGCTTAGTCAGCAGTTCAATATGATATAACCAGGTGTAGAGCTGGATGAGCACAGCAGGCCAAGCAGCATCATAGGAGCAGGA